TGATGATAATGATGGCGATAATAGGAATGATGGAAAGGATGATGATAAAACAATAACAACATTGTTGACAGCGATGTTAGTAACGAACTTACAACCAGCTAGACGCATTCAGAGAGCGCATACCTCAGCCAAGGCAGGAGGGTCACTGAAGCAATAAAGACATTCCTACGTAAAGAAATACATTAAAATCGACCTTTCCTTACGTACACTGGTGACCTACGTAAGTATAGCCTCCCTAGCGGACGTAAGAAAGGCAATGACAATTACAATAGTTACCCCTTGTGTCAAAAAAAAAAAAAAAAAAAATCTGGATTCTTATCACGGTCTGGATCAACATCAAAATTTAATGGCATTTAAATTGGGCTAAAACGCACCTCTTGATGATGGTAATGATATTGATGATGAGAATATATGATATTGATGATGAGAATATATGATATGAATGATAAATATATGATATTGATGATGAGAATATATGATATTGATAATAATGATAACGTTCATGAGGATGATGATAATAATAAAGATAATAGAATAAAATGAGAAAGGTAATGACATTAATGATAAAAGTTACAACAACAATGACAACAATTAAGATAAAAGGAACAGGTAAATAAAAGAGTAATAGCGTTCAGGTATGAAAAACATGATAATGATAATGATAATAAGATAATTTTGATAATAATGATAATAATTATAGTTATGATGATAATAATGCGAATAATGATCAAAATAGGGACGATTATAATAATGGTAACATTGATATTATACAACGATAATAATGATAATGCTAGTGATAATAATAATGTCGATGATGACAATGATGATGATGATGATGATGACGATAATGATAATAATATTAATGATAATAATAACGATAATGATAATAATAATTATAATAGTAATAATGATGATAATGATAATGATAGTAATGATGACATTAACAATAATGATAATGATATAAATTACGACAAGAAGAACAACAAGAATGATAATAAGAATGATGATGATAATGATAATAATAACAATAATAGTAGGAATAATAGTAATAATAACAATAATTATAATTGATGATAATGATGATAATAATGATAATGATAATAATGATGATAATAATTAATAAATAAATAAAAATAATAATCATCATCATCATAATATTAGTAATGATAATAGCAATGACAATAATGATAATAGCAAAAACAAAAATAATAACTGATATTACCATAACAATGATGATGGCTGTACCAAAACACCATTAGTAATAACAACAGCAACAATACCAACATCAAAAATGAACAGCTTGCATAAACCGACAAATGCTCAGGTGCAGGTAGCATAAAAGTCAACATCCAGCTGACAGTTTAAGTAATAATTAATCAATTTGTTTAACAACCTGATTGGGAGTTATTCGCGCTGCTGGTTACTGTTTCATATCTGTGTCAATCTCTCCTATAATGCTGTTTGTTTAATGTCTGCCTGGCTGTGGCTATTAAGAAAAGGGAAGGAAGAGAGAAAGAAAGATGAAAAGGTTTAAGATGATTAAAAAATTCTTTCTTTCTTTCTTTCTTTCTTCTTCTTCTTCTTCTCTTCATTCGGCCTCTTCTTTCCGTTTTTTTTTTTTCATTGTGTCATAATCATTATCATTTTTTCTTCTTGGGGCTATGACTGTGCTGTACTTTGGTTAATAAACGCTGGGCTTCACTTACTTGTAATGCATTATAAGAGTATGTAATCTGCACCATAAGCTGTCAACCACAGATTCGGAATCAAACTGATCATAACAACAAGAATCATCAGTATCATAAACAGACCTATAACCCATAACTACCCATTAAGCATGTTGTTCTCAGAAACAGTTCTTGAATAAAAATTGTCCCGTCAGACCGATAGACCAACATAAAGACACACAGAAACGTAAAGATATTGGTGAACAATTTATCTTTTCTTCTTTTTTCTTTCTTTCTTTTTTTACCGTGTGATGAGGAATTAAATTAAATTTGATTCGACACGCCAGGCTGTCTTTCGTAAATAACCATAGGGTGTAATGTCTGCTAACTACGAGTGTTATGGTTTATAGCAACTACTATGAATCTTTTCCCTACGTAATTATAGCAGTGATATGCAATGTACCTCTTGATTAATTGCCATTGTCATGTATGTAATCATCGAACGCTCCTTTTGAGAATTATCCATTAATCTAAGAAATATTTTAAGATTACGAGGATGCACTTGCACATGGCAGAGGTGAAGTATTCAGGAAATATATTACATAACTTTTTGCTACTTCGCCTTCATCGTCGCCAATAAAGCAATCTGTCCTAGAGAGTGTCATCAGAATGAATGCAAAAATACCTGAACAGCAGTGACGCACATAAACACACACTCACGCACGTACACACACTCACACACACAATTCATGCCCTGACGAAGTAATAGCGAAAAGGCCTTCGGCATATTCGTGTGTTTTCTTGTCCTTCCCTTCGTTGTTCCTGTTGCACAC